AATAATTTATAAGAATTATTATTAAAGAAGGATGAGGAATAAATTTTTAAAGTAAGAAAAAAAACACTTATTTAGGGTGGGTCCATTTATATAAGGCTAATTGGATTTTTGGAGCCCAATTTATGTTATTCCATGTAAACCTCTTAAGACAAGCAGGGCCTAATCAAACATTTACTAAATGGAGTCCATAACTAACCATGGATTATTAGCCCAAAAACCAAATCATTAAGCTCAAGAAAATTAAAAAAAAAAATGTTTACACTGTTTTTAAAGTTTTCAAGAAAAAAAATAAAGAAATAAACTCGATTAAGAGACAAAAAATATATTGTTGAAGAAATAAAAAATTAGAGAGTAAAATCAGTTCGAGTGTGCATCTAAGAAAATGATGGACAAGCAAAAAACATGAAAGAGAAAGCTTGAAATCAAAACAAATGAGTTGCGGTGAATTTCTGACCTATTAGTGAAGGACAATGTGCTCGAAAGCACAAATTGAGGATAAACATACAATTCTAAAAGAAAATGAGATTTGAGAGAGGTGAAAAAGTGTAATTATATATATATTTTTTTACATACAATAAAAAAAAATATTCAATAGTTATTTTGTTTGAGTTAAAAATAAATATTGAAAATATGTATTGATACTCGTATCTAATAATGAACATGAAAAGATAGATATGAAAGATCTAAAAATAAATAACAATGATCTCTCACACTTTTACAACAAGTTTATCCCAATAACATGAGGTGATAGAGAACCATAGCTAAGAATTCGCAAATTTTGAACCATTATGCGTGCGATAAGCATACAATTAAATGATAGGCATGCCACTTGCACTTATCACTTAGATAAGCATTGCATAATTCCTTTGAGTAAAAGTCCACTAATTAATTATTGATTTTTGATTAAACAAGCTAAAGTAAGTGTCATAATTTGGTAAAATAAACTAAGATTGCATAATTAATTTTTTTTACTACTATATAACGACTACTCCCTTATGAATCTGTATGATAGCTTACGAATTAGTTATGTGCTCTTTAGAGCTTTGAGCTCACTAGTGTTGTGTTAGCCAAGACTTCAGTTGTGAGTCTTGACCAAAAACATACATTCACTAAATGATTATTTTTTAAAAAAAATTTAAGAGATATCAAGAGCGAACTTCGCTATATAAATTATATTTAGAATTTGATAGAAAGGTATGAAATTTTTTAGTAGTGAAAATTAAAATTTAATTTAAATAATAATAATTAACTAATATTATCAGGATTATTTATTTGATTGAATCGTGAAATAAAGTTATTTAAGATAAATTTCGATACGATAAAGCTTACATGGCCATGGAACATAACAATCTTCTTTGGTCCTTAACTAGTGAATCAAAGCCTATTTATGGATCTATTATAATTGTTATATTCAATGACAAAGAGATGATATTTTTTATTTATAGTGGGACAACAAAAAATTATGGGCATAAAACTATTTACTAGTATATATTATGAAAATATTATAAGTTATTACATAAAACAGATCTTTACACTTTAGAGCGAGCAATTTTTATAAATATAAATGGAGATTTAATTTAGAACATTAAATAAGGAATTCTTATTTTGATTATATAAAAAAAAACAAACACTTATTAGTTGAGGTGAAACTCATATGATGCATTTATCTTATTTTGAAACACTAGATAAAACTTTAAAATACATTATTAGATTTTCATATACATAGAGATTTCAAACAACTTTTTTTTTTATGGTAAAGTTGTTTTTAGACAAGACTTGGAAAAATATTGTTTGTTGTTCCTAAAAATTGTGGTAAAAAATGTAACAGCTCCGGAAATTTAAAATGGAATGTATATTAAAAATATCAAATGCGGAAGCGGAGTCAAAATTTGATTAACATCCCTTACACTAAAACCAAAAACGTGCTCAAAATATAAAAGATCAAACTAACTAAAAGAGAAATTCGAAAGTAAACTATGAATATGACTTTGGAGTCTTTAGGCGTCCCCTTCGTCGTCTTCTTGCGGAACGGGCTCGGGAACAATGTCTTCCTGATCTGAAATGATTAAATAAGGAATGAGCTACACTAGCCCAGTAAAAACATCACGATATCTCACCGTCACGGAGGTAAAGGTGAGTAGAAAACACAAAAAGACCAATGGAGCATAATTTACAACAAACTCGTTTATTAACATGAAAACCTTTACCATCCACTTACCTCGGTGGAATTTATGAAAACAATATAAGAAAAATAATAACATTATCATAATCATGGAATAATATAAGCTGTAAAACATAACACTTATCACGCCTCTTGTAATTCAATCATTATACAACATATTTTTTTCTCATTTACCAGCCTACTAGTATCCGTGGGGGTTCATAGGGGTCCCGCTACCCGTTAACCTTTAACATTCACAATCAGTTTCCAGGGCCGTACCCCGTCCGGTATGGGCGCCAAAACCATAAACCTCAATACCCCGTCCGGTATGAGGGTGAAACGGGCCGTCTCCATACCCCGTCCGGTATGGGTGCCAAAACCATAAACCTCAATACCCCGTCCGGTATGAGGGTGAAACGGGCCGTCCCCATACCCCGTCCGGTATGGGCGCCAAAACCATAAGATCTCCATACCCCGTCCGGCATGTGAGACCACAATCCCGGTAGGGTTCCCTACGGACCTGGTCCGTCCACCATCTCCCAGGATATCTAGTCAGGCTGACCCCCATAATACAATTATCAGTCTACACAATCTTTCATTTTCCTTTTCCTCAGTCAGCATCATCAATTCACATACAAACAAGCAAAACAGTAATTCATGCCAAACAGACAACATACAGTATCAGTTTTTCAGTCATTCAACCCATGATTAATAAAAACGTAGTATATGCACACAAATCTGTAAAATGAACACATCAAACCTCATTTTGCATTTAAAGCTGTAAACAGGCCAAATAACAGTAAATCACCAATCACACTAGACTCGGGCTCCATTAGCCGCCTTAAGCAATTTCACACATTCGTTAATTCAAGAAATACCGTTTTATCATTTTGAACTTTAATACCGTGATAGGAAATAGGGTGAGGGGTCCTTACTTGTTTTCGGGATCCGAATATGATTCACAGTGCGCCTGCAGGCCGTCCCTAATTTTCCCTGAATTTTTCCCGGGGAACTGAAACACACTAACAGTACCTGCACGTGTTCCAAAAAAACCCAAATTAGGCCCAGGGCCTCTTTCGGCCCAAATCGCAACTCCGGCACGGCGGCTCCGCCGTGCTCCGGCGACGGCCACACTCGCATCGGTCCTTGTGAGAAAACAACCCTAGGGCCCTCGGGGGGCCAAAAAATCACAGAAAAACGGAGCTGACCGGCGGCGGCGCTCTCGGGTGCGGCGGCTCTCCGGCGAAGTTCGTGTTTTGGTGATTCGGCTCCGGTCAACCTGTAGAGAAAAGAATGGTGATCACGGTGATATAAAAATTGCATCGAACGGAGGCCGGGAAGGGCCTTGTCGGATGCAAAAACCGAGAGGGGGCGCGGCGGCGCCGCTGGTCTTCGGCCTCGTATTCCGGCCGTTTGGCCAGGATTTTAGCTTCGATTTGGCCATAGGAGGAATCAGCGTGGAAAAACGAGTCGGGGGTATGAAATTTACCTCGATCGGCGGTCGGAAATTTCCCCGGTGCGGCGGCGGGTGGCGGCAGTCGACCTCTGGTTCGTCTTCTCCGGCGAGCGGCAGGCGGCTAGGGTTTGTGGTCTGGTGTGGGGGTTCTATTTATAACCCCTTGCCTTTTGATCTCAGCCGTCGATTTTGTTTTAATCTGGGCCGTTCGTTTTTGATTGAATCTGGGCCGTCCGATCGCGCGATTGATCTGGGCCGTCGGATTTCACCCACGCGGATCGCCAGCGTGGCTACCTTTCGGAGTGACGTGGTCTTGCCACGTGGCAGGCCCCGGTTGGCCGGGACTGCTGACGTGGCTGCTGACGTGGTTTTTTTTTTTTTTCCTCCTCCTTTCCGGGTGCTACAAAAAATATATGTATATTTTTAATATTAACTCATCATATTATAAAATTAATGTAAGATTTTAAAAGTAATGAAAAAAAATAAAGGAGTGCATACAATATTTTATCGTATAATTTTAGTATATCTACAAAATTTATCATAATGAATATTGAATATTGTAGATAGTCAAGCTAATGAACCTAATGATGATGAAACAATGAAAAAATTATTGAAATTCTTCTCTTAAGATATAAGTAATCTATCTAAAATTGTTATTAGCAATACATATTTATCTTTTTTGCATTACATAAAAGATTCTTAACGTTTAATAAAAAAAATTATTTTGTCGTATGTAAATGATATAATTAAAAAAGTTTATAAGTAAATATTTTATTTATTATTTAGTGAAAAATAAAAAATTAAACTTTAATGACACTTATAATATAAAATTTGATATGTATAGTTTAAAAGACATACATATAACTCAAACAACATCAAATATTAAACATTTTCATATTATATTTTAAAATTTAAAATAAACGTTTTTATTATATTATTTAAAAATACAAACAAATTATTTAATTTATATAATGATATAAAATTAATATTCATTCAATTATATAATTATATGATAAGGAACAAAATTATCTCGAGTGCTAATATAAGTTGTAAGATTGTAAGTCGCATAAATTTGTATTAAGTATGTATAAATATTTTGTGATAAAATAATTATTTATAAACTTAGCAAAATATAGAAATTATTTCAATACACAAATGTTTGTTATCGGCAAATATTTTTGTTTTTGTTTTTTAAAATATGAAATATGTCTAATTAATATTTATTTATTTATTAATACATTTACGTGGATAAAAAAGAAAAAACAAATTCCCAATTTTGTAGTCAACTCTAGATGCTGACCCAGCAAAATCCCCTCAGTGCGATTTAAGAAAAAGAAAAAGAAAAAGAAAAAGAAAATGATTATGAAAAAAAAAAAAATCGACATTCCTGTCCGACCCGATCCATTGCTTTCATTCGCATCCTTCTTCTTCTTCGTCTTCCCTCATCATTTCACATCTCAACCTAACAAAACCAATAAGTAATACAGATTTACAGTATATAGTATATCTATATTTACATTATTTATATATAAAAAGGAAGAAAACCCATTCACATTAAATGATAAATTTATTCAATTAACACCGACGCGATATATAATTTTCGTTGATTTTTCCTTTTTCGGCCACTGAAGGATTCTCAGATCTCATCTTCCACTCTCATTGCTTTCAACTCTTTCCCCTTCTTCACTCTTGCTTCTTTTCTTCACTTGGTTCGCACTGACTCCGTCAATCAATCTATCATAATAAACACTTATTAATCAATCTATCAGAATCGAGAGCCGAATCGGAGTGGGTTTTCAAATCCAATGGCGGTGGCCGTCCGAGGAAGCCGAGGTGGCGGGGCCGGATCGGCAGCTGGCGTCGGTCTCCGGAGCTTCTTCTCCTACCGCGTCTTCGTCTCCGCCGTCTTTTCTCTCCTCTTTCTCGCCACCGTCTCCGTCCTTCTCTCCTCCCACCATGACACGGTACGGATCCCTTCATCCCGTCTCCTACACCTCTTTTTTTCCTTTTTGCAGGAATTTTGGATGTAAATAGTAATCTTTTGGTGGGTTTTTGTTGTTGGAACAGAAAATTCCAATTACGGGAGATGCTTACGTGCACCGGGACTTTTATGGCACTGAAATCCGATCCGTTGAAAACCCGTCTGGATTTGATACACAAACAAGCCAACGAACATGTCGCGCTCGTCAACCGCC